CTTTATGCATGAAAACTATATTCTGCTATTCCTTTATGCATGAAAACTATATTCTGCTATTCCTTTATGCTTGAAAACTATATTCTGCTATTCCTTTATGCATGAAAACTATATTCTGCTATTCCTTTCTGCTTGAAAATCGATTCCTTTTTTCCTTTCTGCTTAAAAACTTGCTCAGCTAAATTATTGAGATGTTCTTGCTTTTTTTCTAAAAATTGATAATCTTCAATTTGTGTTTGTGAATTGAGTGCGCTGAGGGGAACTGCAAGAATGTAAAAATAAATTCAGTAAAATTGTCTCATCCTTTTATGTAAACCCCTGTACGTTGAAATGTTAAAAATTGAATGCAAAATTACTGCTGCTTTATAAATAAATAAATATGATAATATATATTTGTATGTTCATGTGTGGCATATTAATGGTGGGATAATTATATGATAAATTGTGTTTACTATACAATTTATGAATATATATATCAAAACATATTATTCATATATCAATATACGTACATATGCATATTGAGCTGAAAACTTCAGAATCAGATAACCTTAGTATACTCAATCAGATACCCTAAATATACCAATCGCTCAATCTAAATATCCAAATTGAAAACAATCGGTTTCTGTGAAATATTTTATATCCCAGTGGATTACGGGTAATATACCTGGTTAGGTTTATATATTCAGAAGGATACAGAAGTAGGATACATGGTTTATCATGGCTAGGTTTATATATCCAGGTTGGATAGGAGTAGGATACCTGGTTAATCATGATAAGATTTATATCCATTAGGCTAAAGCACGGTGGATTTCTAATAGGCCTAGGATTAGGCCGGGTATTGTAAAAAGTCTGAACGCACCATGGGAGATGTCATAGTTAGCCCTCCGACGGGACTATGCCAAGAAAATTGACCCCTGTCGTACATTAGTCCGGTTAGGGCGACGTACTGTACCATAGGATTGGGTCAGTACACGCTCATATCTGGTAGGCCGGTACAAACTGAGCAGGTCTTGTTCGAATTCAAATTTACTACGGTCCAGAGTGAAAGAAGTAGGATACATAGTTTATCATGGCTAGGTTTATATATCCAGGTTGGATAGGAGTAGGATACATGGTTTATCATGGTTAGGTTTATATATCCAGGAGGATACAGGAGTAGGATACCTGGTTTATCATGGTTAGGTTTGTATATCCAGGAGGATACAGGAGTAGGATACCTGGTTTATCATGGTTAGGTTTGTATATCCATGTGGATGTAGGAGTAGGATACCCATCTCCCAAACAATCTACTCTAACGGTGGCTCCGACCTGATAATTCAAAGAGTTGTTAAAAAATAATTGTGGCAAAGACTCAATTTATTTTATCTTTTACAGTGCCGTTAATACTTAACTGTTTCATAGAAAAGTCTTTTTGTATTATTAACCAGCAAACGTTAGACCGGCTAAGTTGATTTAGTTGGTGGGTCTAAATGATTTATCCCAGTTCAACCAGTTTAATTTGTAATCCATTGAACAAACTTGAGGTCTTACTTCAGTGTCTGAAATCATCTTACCTGAACTGTAATATTCTTAGGTTTCCGAATCCAATAAGGTGGCGTCCCAATCTGAAAATTTGAATTTATAAAAACTAGAATTTTGAACAAAAAAGAACAAGAAAGGTTGACTGCATGGAAAATAAATCGAATATCGTTGATTTATTGAATTCATTTTACTGCCAGTCCCCGGAATTGCATTTTCGAATAAATCCAATTGTAATTTTTATTGCAGACTGAAAATATCAAACCTATAAACACATTATTGAAAAAATAACATTTAGAAGAGAGCTAAAAACAAACTGTAAAAAATCAAACCAAAATTCTTTGTTGAATTTTTGAAGGTCTATTAAAGGCCACTTAGCTTCAATATTAAATGCCATTTCGTGGAAATAATTACCACGAGAAGAAAAACCTGTTGTTTATTTTCTAACATTTGTAACTAACCATACAATCTAAGTTCAGGGGCGTATAGTTTACAGATTAAATCTTACACCGGGCTTAAACGCTCCTGTCATGCTGCAGAATTCTACAGGGCCCCCCCCCCTGTAGAATTCTGCAGCTCACGCCATTTACTCCCTTACCTTGAAAACTCTCTGTCCAGTTTAAAAGTTTGTACACAATAAAATCATCTCTACTGGTGTGTACCTGCAGCTCAATAGAGCGCTCTTCCATTTCACCGGTTTCTGTGATTGTAGCGCGGCAAATGTACACTCCAGCATCAGCTGACTGCACACTGTTTATGTGCAGTCCTCCAGGCACAACGGAAAACTTCGCATCTAATAATAGAATTCTTGACATAATATTAAGTGATTTCAACACTTGATAGTTTTATCAGTAATCTACAGCAATATCCATTAAAACATATTTTTTTTTTATATCTCAAAATCATCTTTTAATTAACACTTTTTCAATTATTGCGTTGATTTCACATGTTACATGCAACTAGAAAATTTTCAAAATATATTACAACCTCATAATTATTATTCTGTTTAAATTTAGATTATTTCTGGAAAGCTTAAATTCTGTTAGAATTTAAAATCCCATCTTGAAGTGCAAATTACTTTTACTTTCCCTCCTCTGGATCCTTCCAACATAGTTAAGGAATAATTGGTATTCCAACCCTTCACACAACTTTATAACATTTAGATTAACTTTATAAAGGAAAAAAGAAAATGGTGAACTGAAAAATCTGGTAACTTAGGACTGGGCACTTTGAGAATTTTTTTCTAAAAGTGGTTTGTAAAATTAAATGAAAAATCAGACTCACTAAGGTCATTTTTATGAATTTTGATTTTTTACAGGCGTTAAAGAAAGAGTTGTTCTTCTATCTCTGAAAAGTTTTAATTAAAAAAGAATACTTACATTATTTTAGTTAAGTTAGAAAGGCTAACAAACAAGAAAGAAAATGTCACTCTAAGACAATTCTTTAAGAATAAAGGTAAAGTGACTATTGGTTAATGAAGTTAAAGATTGTCTAAAACAAAACAAAAACGATCTAATTTCGTTCACGAAACAACGATTAAAAATGTAAAAACAACTATTACAGTTTTAAAGTAATTAAAAACGATTCTTGTCTCAAAAGATAGTTAATAACTACGATGGTTTTGTTTTCGTTTTTCTCGTGGTTAAACATAACTATCAGTTTGTTTTCAGTAAAGTGCATATGATCCATCCCTAGTTCTAATACCTGATCTTACTGTTGAATCATGCCGAATCCAGTCAATTCTAGGTGGATAGGTAGCTTCAGCTCTTAAAATTCATTTAATTTAATTTTAAAGTGTGATTCCATAGTATTTAGAGCAAGAGTAACGATTCCGGAAATCCTTTTCCCCCCCTTCCCCCCCCCCCAACCACCCACCCCCCTAACAGTTAAGATTAAGGGGATCAAATAGATGAAGAAAATTAAATAATTTACTTTTCATAAGTATCTAGAAAAAAATTCAAACTTGAAAATTATTTTTTAAATCTAAAAGCAGTCCAAAAATCCCAAAAAGGAGAAGGGGAAGGGGAATGAGGAAAGGAGAAGGGAAAGGTTAAGGGGGGGAAGGGGAAGGAAAAGGGAAAGGTTGAGGAGGGAAGGGGAACAAGGAAAAAGGAAGGGGGAAAGGTTAAGGGGGGAAGTGGAACAAGGAAAATAAAGGGGAAAGGAGAAGAGGGTGGTATTTATATTCTGGAAATTATGATGGAAGAAATAAATTTGGAAGATACCATCAGTAGAAAAGTAATAAACCTGCAAAATATTGTTGTATTTGTGTTTATAACTGCCAACTGTACTGCTGAACTGTCCTGCCATCGTAATCCATCTAAATAATAGTATAATAGTTCCAGGGTACTTTAGTACTTAGAACTTTTTAAATGATAATGACTGTAAAACCAAATAAACAGCTTTTATGATCATAGTAAAAAGTTTTCAACGGCAAAGAACATTTATTCTTAGCAACAAAGGAACTGATAACTGGGTGCAAAGTTTTCTAATACCTAAATATATCTTTGCAACATGATGGTGTAAATTTTTGATATTCAAACTTTATCTAGTAAAGCACAGAGTTTGAAATATCAAAGGTTTTCACTGCATTATTGCAAATATAAAAAATTGGAAAATTTAAGTTTTAATTAATTAAAATTTAAGTTTAAAGGCAAGATTTTGTTATAAGTGTTCATTTTCCCATGAAAATATTAAACAAAAGCCTTCTAATTACTCATATTTGATTATTTTCAAAGAATTCAACCTTTAAAGGAACTGTTGACGTAATTTTAAGTGACCCCCCATTTAAAAAAAAGACATGTACAATTCACAACAGTACTCTTCAACCTATTTTGAATAAAAATGTTGGGAATTGTTAAATTGATTTTTTTTAATAATCTGCAAGTAGTTTTTTCTTAAACCAGCCATTGAAAGTTATCAATTTCTAGCAAGAAAAATAGTGATATCCCTATTATCCTTGCTCGATCATAAAGGGTAACATTGTGAATTGAATAATCCACTCCAAAAACTGGAGTCTACGTCTATAGGCATAAAAAAATCAAAACTTTTGTAAAAGTCTTAAATACATTTTTAATACAAAGATTAATTTTAAATTTGTTCAATGCTAACATGTAAAAACATTTTTAGAAAAAAATAATTTTCAGAAATTTCAAATTCCTTTGATGCCTGCGAGGACAGAGAAAATGTGATTTATGGTGGCATTTTCTTTACACACAAAAAAGAAGATTTAACTTAACATAAAGTAAGGTAAAAAGCAACATAGGTAAAAAATCAAGTTCATATTTTATAAGATACTAAAGAGTAAAAATTTCAATTAAAAAAATATTATTGATCATTTTATTAGACTTTTTACTCAAGGGTTTTCTCAAAAAAAATTAAGCTAATTTGGTTCAGCCGTTTGGCCAGCTATAACTGACATATATATATATATATATAAATATGAGAAAAGAGCTTTATTATATAGATGAATATTTAAGATTTATACTAACCAAACACTTTGATTTGCACGTAGGTCCTTGAGTATGTTTTAGTGCCGGTTGACTTAATGCACATATATCTACCAGCGTCTGACTGATGTACAAAAACCAACATATGTTTTTCATGGTATTTTTGAAAGATCAAACAATCTCATTTTCCCTTGTTTTTGAATTTGATATACTCATCACCTTTCATCCGGTTTAAAAATATTTTGTTTTTTAGAAGGTAAAATAAATTGGCAATTAAAGAACTACAGGGTGTCCCACAAAACATGACAGTTGAGAGTAAAAATTAAAGGTCATCGTTAATTTTTGAAATAATTTGCGGCATTTATAATTTGTCAATCTACTTTTACAATTATGATTCTTGAAACAATAATAAAAAATTAAACATATTTCTGGCATTTCACAAAAATTGGTCTGCCATTTTTGAGCTTAAATATTACCGAAGTTTCATATAGATTTCAATATATTAAATACTACTGGAGTTTCGTATAGATTTCAAAATATTAAATATTCCAGGAGTTTCATATAGATTTCAATATATTAAATATTATCAGAGTTTCGTATAGATTTCAATATATTAAATATTATCGGAGTTTCGTATAGATTTCAATATATTAAATTTTACCGGAGTTTCGTATATAGATTTCAATATATTAAATATTACTGGAGTTTCGTATAGATTTCAATATATCAAATATTACCGGAGTTTTGTATATAGATTTCAATATATTAAATATTACTGAAGTTTCGTATAGATTTCAATATATTAAATATTACCAGAGTTTCATATAGATTTCAATATATTAAATATTACCGGATTTTTGTATATAGTGTAACAGTGGGCGAGTTTTGTTGATCTTTTACGATCAGCAATTCAAGGATTTTTTGGATCGCTGAGATCATAGCTACCAAGGGGAATCATGCCCCCTTTCCCCCCCCCCCATCTTTAACCCTACGGTTGGACTTTAGAGTCCTATTTTGAATCCTAAAGGATTTATTTGAGTTTGCATTTGGATTCTTATTATGAAGAGCGTTGAGAGAAGGGAGTCTTACGATCCAATCCTGAGCAATACCACACGGTACATATATTAGGTCTTTAGGGAAATCGCTAAGTAGCGAAACAATTTCAATATATTAAATATTACCGGAGTTTCATATAGATTTCAATATATTAAATATTACCAGAGTTTCATATAGATTTCAATATATTAAATATTACCAGAGTTTCATATAGATTTCAATATATTAAATATTAGCGGAAATTGTATAGATTTCAATATATTAAATATTACCGGAGTTTTGTATAGATTTCAATATATTAAATATTACCGAAGTTTTGTATAGATTTCAATAAATTAAATTAAACCAAAATTGTCGAAACTTAACGAAAGTCGATTGTGATGGGACTTGTGGTTTTAGGTGATAATGTATTGTACTTCTAAACCTGGTTGACAAATTATAAGCAACATTTATTTCAAAGATCAAAAACAACCTATATGTTGTCTCTGAACATCTCGTGGAACCCTCACACACTGTGTTTTGAAAAAATGTCAATATATTGGAAGATACTGAAGTATTTTACAGAACCTTTAATTGCTTAAATGTCCTGAAATTATTGATTCCCTAAATCAGTAATGGTAAAGAAGTATTGATTATATTATATGAAAGAACCGACCAAAGAAATATATTACAATTATTTACTACACAAAAGCTAAAAAAATGTTGCACTAAATTTGCACAATTTAATTTGTTTGTGGATCTGTTGTCCAGTGAATGTAAAGGTTTTATTTTCACAAAAGGGGGCAATGTATTAAAAACAAAATGAAATTTTAAAATTTTAAATCCCCCCACCCTTTCAGCCAAAGAAAGTATTTTGTTTTTAATCTATTACTTTTGTTAATTTGTATTTTCTTGAATAATGAATTTGAAAGGTTTTATTGATCCAACCAGATTTTTATAAAAATCTTTTATTTTTAATTATGTGCAATCTATATTTAAATTGGCTTGCATAATTGTTGCAAACTCAAAAACTTGAGCAGAAAATTCAGAGCACCTTTAAAGCTAAAATTATACTCTTACAGTTCCTTTAAGAACAAAAATATTTTCCGTTTCAGAGCACCTTTAAAGCTAAAATTAAGTCTTACAGTTCCTTTAAGAACAAAAATATTTTACTAGATACAAGATTTTGAAATTATGGAAATAAGATTTCACGTTTGGGACATTGCAAAAAAGACAAGAAATGTTTCCATGCAAATATTCTGCAACCACATTTAACAACTGTCAGAATTACAATGTAGGAAATCTAACATACTTTAAGTTAAACAAGTTGGAGAACTTAATAAAAAAAACACAATTTTATGAAAAACACAAAATACAACCCTATAGTCAAGTTGTTTCTCCAAATAGCTTGATAGAAGTAAACAGATTTGTATAAGACTTTTTATCCCATAACATATAATGTAATGCTCAAAACATCTAAAGCTTATTTTAATAAAGACATGTGAACAAATATGGAATTATGCTACAATTTTGCAACCTCGTAAAGCTCCTTTAGCTATCATTGCAAACCTTTTATCTTTTGTGAGATATGTTCCAAAAGTGTAAGATTTCTGTCTGTGATCAAATCTTAGTTATTTATGCTAATAAAAGTGCAGTGGTTTATAATTATTGTTATGGTAATACTACTAAACCTTGAATTACCTCAGCTGCTGCACACTAAAAATGTTTGATTATATTATACAATAATAAGCATTATATGAATTATTACTGTATTTGCCCAACTAATAATGTAATTATGTTGTTACAGAAGGTAGAACTGGGTATATAAATATATCACGTCAGACTGAAGTAAATTGCAATGTTTTTAATTAGAACTCCTCTTCTTGAAGAATTATTGAGTAAGAATCAAATTTTTTTGAATTTCTGATATGTATTCAAATGTAATAGGCTTTACTTGTGAATAAACTCTAAACTAGACGAGCTACGAGGTCACAATGTCATACCAGTATATCCGTAAATGTTACCTTCTCCTAGTTAACATATTTACAGGTTATATATTCAAACAGTTTTATTTTTTTTATTCTTCAAGATTACCAACGATACTTTAGGTAACCCTCTATTTGAATTAACACTAAATTCCTTTTAGAACATGTTTAGATTTTCTTTTAATCAAGGATTTATAGAGCAACCTTTTAAACAAATTTTTACTTTTTCTACGCTTTTTTAGTATTCTGTCAGTTAATATAATAAAACTAATGAGACAGCTGAAGTGTAAAAGCCTAATAAGCCTAATTTATGTCTCGCTTTGAACATGACTAGAGTAACCATTAGTCAGAACTTTTGTGTTGTAAATTCGGCTAGATCCTTGATCATCATCATCATCATCTCGTGGTGGGTCATAATTGAATTCAGATGTTCTTCATTAGACAGAGGAACGAAAAAGTTTTAAATGGGAAAGTTAAGCTATTGATTGTTCTTGTTCCTTATTCATAAGACTTTGGTATTTGAAATTGTCACCCAATTTATTTTTATTATTTTCATATGTTCAATCGGCTTGGATAAATGTTTTCTGTTTTAAATGAAAGACAAAAGTTTTAAAATTATTATTTTTCATAATTGGATACATACCGATATCATTGATTTGTACCGAATGCAATCACTGCAGGTAGGTTGGCATTATGTCTCAATTTCTTGATTTTAACTGATTATTTTTGTCCATGCAAAAATGTAGTATATTCAATGGCACTCTTATTTACCAAACAATCTTTTTTTTTAAAAAGGCAAAAATTGTGGGTCCAAATTTTACAAATCACAAAATTTTCGATTTAAAAATAATAAATAACATGTCCATTTTCCAAGTAGGTATTGACATTGTGGGTTTAGTCGAAAACTAAGAAACTTAAATAGTATTTGGTTCTACTTTATTTGTGGCTACCCCTTAGTTAGTGCATACCCCCTTTAATTAAGTGTATGCTTGTGCCCCCCCTCCCTCTCCATTATGTTTATGCTTTGCTTTATGCCCTTTTCCTTGAGTTTTATTAGAGTAATATCCCTAAATAAATAGAATATAGTGTAGTATACACACTATATAATTAGGGATGGGCAAAATTTTCAAAAACAATAGGAAAAACGATTATTTTTAGTTTCGTTTGGTATTTTTCAAAACTAACTAGAATTTGCTTTAGAAAAGACTAATTGTTTAAACTAGGGAAATGTTAGTTTTAAGCTTTTGAAAACAAAAAAAAAAACGAAAGGACAAAACCATAACAAATATTCTTTATCAAATTTTTATTTTTTATTGAAGATGCTATATTTTTCATTTTTATTCCAAAACTATCATTAAAAACTATCGTTTTTACTCCAAAACAATAGTTTTTATTTCAAGACGGTAGTTTTATTTCAAAACGGTCGTTTTCAATACTATTGTTTTCATTCCAAAAAGATAAGTTTCAATCCAATTTGATAGTTTTTCCATTTCTGTATATAATGGTTATGAAAACTATCGTTTTCCGGAACGATCATATCAAAAACAATTGTTTTGTTTTTTCCTCTTAAAACCTAATTTATATAATTAATGTTAACCCTTACAAAAACTATCGTTTTAAGATTTTTTTCCTTGTTAGCAAAAAAGTAAAATCTGTCCATCCCTATATCATAGGAATTATATAATCTAGGTAAATACAATACAAGGTACAGGAAAGTTTAATAATTAAATGAAAAATAAGAAAATATATATATATATATGAGTTTGCTGTTTGATCAAGCATTAATTTCCTGACATTTTAGAAGCATAATAATTCAAATTTATGAATTATTTTGAACTCTACCTCTTCTGACATAAGTCAAAAACTAAAGTCTGTAGTAACTGTATTGCAACTTTTCCAATGTATCTTCTCCCAACGTATCCAAAGCAAAATATGTCAACGGCAAATACAGAAATAAGTCTTCCGGGGGGGGGGATAGAAATAGGGGCAGTCTGACTTTTCCTTAGGGTTAAAATTAATTAGATCTTTGAAGAGGAAATCTAAAATTTGAAGTTTTCAAATATAAAATGCATATAACATATGAATTCTATTTTATCAAAGATTTTTTTTCATTGATTTATTGAACTTTAAACTCCAAAGAAACCAAATCCTTTAAATTTGAATATCTATTTAATCTTTTTCTTCAATATTTGATCCATCTTGAACTTGAAAAGTATATATATATGCCTTTTTGAAGATTTATGGAAGGACCGGGGGATTAATTTTAACAACGCAGTTGAAATTTCAAATTCAGATTTTTTCAAATGTTTTAATGAACTTTGTAGGATTATTTATTCCTAAAATTTCCAATTCTATTTTTTTAGGAAATATTTTTAGGAAAACCTTGATTCCCAGTTTTTTCATCTTCAGAACTCTAATCCTGGATTAAGGATTTTATTAACATTTCTATGACATCAAAAAATTAAATATTTTTTAGGTGACTGTCATCACATAAAAGGGCCATGGCCGAGTCACAACAATAACCTTGAAACATTTATCAGACAGGGGTGGATACAGGATTCAAGTGAGTGGGGTGCTAGCTTTGTTTCGGAACAAAAAATCCAGATTTAGGAAGCAAAAGACGCGCCGCAGGGGAAAAAAAAATGTTAAGATACATATTTATTCTGTTTTGCACTAGGTTTTCTTTCCCTTAAGTGCTACTGAGAAGCTATTCTGAAATCTCACGCCCCCCCCCTGAATCTCTCAGGGGGTGCAATGGTCCTGCCGCCCCCCCCCCTGTATCCTCCCCTGTTATCAGATCAATAATGTTTAGTCACAGACTACATATCACGAAACCTTGATTTCAAGAGGAAGTGGGGTTCATACAGTACACATACTGCACGGTTTGTTTTTAATTACTAAATACTAAATGATCTGAGAGATAGATAGATATTTTCCCCCTAAAATGTAAACAAAAATAAAAAAACAAAGGAAGCAATGTAAAAATAACTTGTTTTTAAGAATACGATCACAAACGACCCCAATTTTTCTATAACTGTACAGTTGTGCCCAGCTTGCCTGTTGTACTTAGTCTACGGAACCTTTATCAATATCTACTCCGTGTGTTTAGTTGAAAAGTGTTAAATTCTGTTAATTTTTAATGTTTAAATCAAAAGAGTTAAAAAATGTTTAACATGAAAACTATTTTTTATGCAATGTTCAGATCCATGGTGGACTAAGGTCTATTTGAATTCGAACTGGACTGCGCCCTTGGATCGACCTTGGTGACGACCAGCAAGTACCGCCCCGCCCCTATACACTGCAAACCAAGATGGTCATGCTCTCACGCAGAAATCGAGCAATATTTTACCAATTACTTCTTTTAAAACAAAGCTATAAACAAGCGCTTTGCAATCTTATAAATTGAATATGTCTTGGGCTACAAAAAAGTATAAGTGAGTTGGTGAGGTGAAAATAAAAGTCAAGGCGATGTGACACTTTGAAGTCGAGGTCGTCTAAAATTTTGATGACTGACTTTCAGTTTTCACTTATATGGTGCGACCAGACTTTTTACAGTACCCGGCCTCTAGGCCTATTTTACCCACTTCACTAGCTTAGTTAACTGTGGATCCTCCACATTTTTGAAAATATGTTGTTTTCCTTTTTAATATTTTTGATGAAAAGAGATATTGATCCTGTTGCTGGTTCTATTTCCGCTGTCATTCTAAAATAAGAAAAATATATTACTTTAAAAAATTTGGGAAATTTTAAGTATGTATTTTAAGCTTATTAAAACTTAAAATTCTTTTTTCCAATATATAAAATTTCCCTCAAAGAAAAATAAAAAAAATAGGGATAAACTTATTTTTATGAAAATACCCCTATTTAATTATTTTTTGTGCTAAAATTTTATTTAAAAATCAAAATTCATAACTTTCAGTTTTTGAAAATAAGTTAAGAATTTCTTTGACAAATTTCCTATGTTACAAATGATTAACTACAAGCAGTACCGTACATAAGCAGTAATTAAATACTTTATAGCAACTACATTCGATGCAAGTAATGAATATATTGTTGTTTACATATTTAAGATTGTAAGGCCAATGTTGTGCATTCAGAATGCAGGGGATGAAAGATCTAGGTTATGCTTATGCTTTAAACCTGATTTAGGTCAAATTAACGGTTTTGAACTTTCGTCCTCTACAGTTTTCCCAGTAAATTTGTTTTAGGGTAATACAAAATCTCTCTCAGAAGCTGAACCTTCATAAAATAAAACTTTGCACGGATGTCTTTACAGAATTTAGGAGAGAGGAGAAAGTTTATTTACATTCTACCGAGACAGTTTTAGACAGCACTAGTTTTACTGTAAACAAACAACACTGTTTACAATTTATCTAAATATATAAAAGTAGTAATCTTTGTTTGTTTGTTTATCTGTTGATCTGTCCGATCAATTCCAAAGGTTGGCTCCCTGTCTAGTATACAATATGCATGTGTAAGGTTGGCTCCCTGTCTAGTTTACAATATGCATGCGTAAGGTTGTCTCCCTGTCTAGTATACAATATGCATGTGTAAGGATGGCTCCCTGTCTAGTATACAATATGCATGTGTAAGGATGGCTCTCTGTCTAGTATACAATATGCATGTGTATTGTGTAATGTAAAGTTGTAATCTCTGATTGTCTGTTTGTTTTACCGATCATAACTCAGTAATCCCTGGACCGATTTGTCTCAAATTTTGATTGGGGAACTCGGCAGAGCCATGGAATTGTTCTTAGTTTGGTTTTCAGATTCTAAGTTAAGTGTGTAGACTTTAAAGGGAAAAATAGTTAAAATTGTAACCGTAAGCTAGTAGTTAACATAGTTATATGTAAGCTAGTAGTTAATATAGTTTTAGGTAAGCTAGTAGTTACCTAAATTATAATTCAAACATATGAGCTAAAAGCTCGGAAAAGGAATTGAGTCTTTGCCACAAACTCTGATTTTCTAATCCCTATACCTTTGTTTAACCCAATTGTGTAGACCTTAGATACTTTAAACAATGAATGCTGTTAGATCAAATAATCTAAGTTTGAAATATCAGGTTGAAAAGATATAGGGATTAAAATATTTTAGTTTGTGGCAAAAACGCAATTCTTTCAATAAGAAATCCTACCTCTTTTTTAATCGCACTTATTGTCATAAGAAAACAAAATATGAAAAAACCCTTTATAAAAAATTTTTAGAAATATACATTTTGCGCAACATTGCGTCAATACATAAAAACTAGTTTGCTGTCCAAATTGGATCTATAGGCCATTGAATGAAGTAATCCTTACATAAATCATAACTACGCACATCAAATGTATCATTATTGAAATGCACTTTAATCTAAGTCAAGGGCGTATACAGGAGGGGGAAGGAAGGGGAACTCAGAGCTTTCACACTTTTCAAATCTTAAACTCAAGAGTGAAGAACATTTAAAAATAGTTTGCTGTTCATTCAGTGCACTAAGAAGATTGTATTAGTGGACCAGAGCTACCATGACAGAAGTCCGAATGAAAAATCTATTTAGAATGAACATTCATCCTAATGTTTGGCTTGGCTTGAGTTTGGAGGTAGTAAAAGACCATTTTTTGTTTGTTTTTTTATTTGGATTTAATTTACTTAATTCATTACACCGCTGTTTTGTAATCTTTCTTTTTATTACAAACTAGCTGAAGTGCCAGGCGTTGTCCATGGAATTTAAAAAATCGAATTAGAAAATCTTAAACTTAAATCACGTGACCAGAACTATCACCAATGGCAGAGCAGTATACTGGTCACATGTCTCCCCCTGTATCACGTGACCACTTTACTGCACTGCCATTGGTGGAATTTCTGGTCAAGCAATACAGACGTATAAATAATATTATGAATTAAATCTATAAAAAATAGAAATAACAAATATGAAATTAGAATTGGAGTAAAGCTAAGTTACAATTAGCTTTCTCTGGGATATCATCGTTTTCAGATTGGTTGCATATTTGCTGAATTTGATTTTTTTCAACCCACTACTTTTATACAAAATTGTATATATATTAAATTTTCGTATAAATTTCACAAAGTTGTAAATCAGTTTCTCGAGATAGGAACATCAGATATAAATTTCATGGGTCGCGATCGAGAGCTAAAGTGATTAACTTTCAGCCTATACCCCCTTTTATTTTTCCTTTACAGTCCCTTTAAGTGAGGTTTTTCATTTTCAAAAATGTCTTTTACTATCTTATGGAGGACATGAGTCAGACTCTAATAAAAACGCATAAATAACTTCCAGTATATATACTTCTTATAACTTATTACTAGAGGGTTCAGAACTAGAGTCAATATCGATATCACATGTGTAGACTGTAGATGATTTTATCAGTACTATGCCCCGTATCCGTTCTATCTCATTCTGTTGAATCTTGTGGAACTAGTTTAACGCGGCCAGGCATCGTCTTCCACAATCTCTAGTTTAAATACTAATTATTACTAACATAACAGCATAATCGATATTTTAGAAACGATGCTTTTTTCTGCTAGTTTTAATTGAAGGAGAGATAAAGTAAAGTACATGCAAGGTAATTGGACTTTATGTGTACCTTTAAAGTATCTTTATGCCTGATATCCAAGAAGCCAAATATGTTTTGAATTTTCAGTTCAAATTTTGCCCCCCCCCCCCCAGGAGCTCCTAGGGGGGCCAAAAATTACGCCCCTACCCCCTAGAATTATTTATGTATACACCCTTGTTCTAAGTGTTTTCTAAGATTAATAAAGCTGACATCTGCTACCATCAAAATAATTAGCTAATTACACACATTTCTTCTTTTCCTCAAACATTTAACTAATTGGAAGATATCGTTATATCGCATGAGGCTGTCATTATCAATGGGAAATGAAAATAACAGATTTCTACAATCCTCAGAATTCAAAAATAGGGATGACATTTTAGAAATCCTGAACAGTGTGGAATTATTCTGCAAATTTGTTGTTGTTGTTATTTCTAGAAACTTTGTCTTCACGGGGGGGGGGCTATAAGGGCCAATCCCCCCCTCTCGAGTAAATATTTTGTCTTGATTAACCAAAAATTCAATGTTTTATTTATGCCTTAAAGTGGCCCGATTCTTATAAAAAACAAATTTATCGGGGGGAACACACAATTAAGAAAAATAATATTGGAGGGACGAGGAATTTGAGATGGTTCGGACGAGAAAATGATGAAAATGTGGCTCGGACGAGAAACTGTTATGGTTGGCCTTCCTCCCATTGCATCGCTACTTGAATACCAGATTACCTGTGTACGGACGGTTTCTGATAAAAACGTCCGGGAAGAATATTTTTTTCTTTCATTTACAATATATGATAATCAGGCTTACAGGGCGCTTCGCGCCTATCTTCTTTTTTCAACTGTGAACATATTCACTTTTTGTATACATTGTAAAACAAACATCAACAAACGTCGTAGATTTTATCAAACAATTTTGTGGATTTTCAAAATTTAATGACAATCAAATTTTGTTGAAGGCTAATTTTTGAAATGTTGATCATTCATAAGCCTTCCCAGGGGTCATGTGAGGTCCCAAACAAAATTTGGGCCTGATTGGTTCAGCTGTTTTGACGTTTATTGGATACAAATAAACAAACAGACAGACTAGCAAATTTATATAGATTACACAATTTACAACACATTAGACAAAAATTGTACTGGCATCTTTACTGTATACTAAATGTTCTTTGTAAAAATGATTTGCAATGAGAAATGTGCTTTGCAATTACACATGTACATGTACTTTGTAACTATGAACTTAGCACTATTTTGCAACATGTGTCCTTTCATGTTCCCAAAAAAAATTTTAAGTAAACTAAATTTTTCACATTCGGAATAAAAAAATAACTTTGAAGTTTATTTTTCCTGAAGGTTTATGACCATTAGTTCAGTTGTATGGTTGTATGGTTAGTGCAATGTTTGAGTTTATAACATTATTTGGATTTATTGAACAATTACTTGGGGCTTGTAATTTCAAGTAATGGTTGCTTTCAACACTTACAGTTTACCCAGGATTTAACGAAAGGGGTCGATTAACATTTTTTGTAAAAGGCTTCAATTATTATTATTTTTTTAAAAAGTAACCCTGGAAATTTTAAATCCATTAAAAATAAAGAAAACTTTACAATACTTTCACCATTTTATACTTCCCTCACTTTAAAGATATTTATTTGCCTCTGGTAGTTGCGCATCTATTTAAAAAAGAAGGTAATGCCCGATTCACAATGGTACCATTAAAACATACACCCTGTGTAAGATTTGCTTGCTTGAATAGTGTTAATTCTGATACTTTTTACATTTTTTTCCTGCAGCAGATAGTACATTGTTCTGCTCTATCTATTGTCTTGTTATTCTATGCATAGACTGGCAGGATGGATTGACTTTATTTAGTTAAAGCATCCGAGTGGGGAAATCCATTCCAAACTCTCGGAAACAATATTGAAAATCTATTAGAAGTCTTGAAGAAAATTCATGAAAATTTAACAGTCATCTCCGACAACAAAAGATAACATTATAGTCTATTAATGAATATGTATTCAATTTTCCTTAACTTTCATGTAATCTAATTTTAAAATTATTTCAATACGAATTGGAAAATTTGAATTTAAGTGTAATTTAAATTCTAAAAATTTTAAAAACTTTATAGTCAAAATTGTGGGAAAGGTACCCTTGAAACCT